CGGCGGTGGCTGTGGTAGCCATTTTGCACCCACGAGAGGGGTTTGAAGATAAAGCCACACAGCTGAGAGGCGGCTGAGCAGTGGAATCTGTTTTCCTCTGGATCGTGTAGTTGAGTCATTGACTTCCCTTTTCTGCTTAATTTTGGTCACGTTTCCTGTCACTTACAACAAAGGGTTCTAATTCATGCAGGTGGAAGGAAGCAGTTTTCTTTACTTCTGCAGCACAGCCCAAGATTCCTTTCCATTGTCCGCTCTGGCCGCGTGGTCAAGCCTAGGCCCGGATGGCGCTCAGCGCACGTGCGCACAACACAGGCCCTTGAAATCTTACCACCTGTGCAAACATGTGAAGTTCGGACTTCTCCAAAAGGAATGGCTAAACTTATCAGGAGCGTAAGGAATTCATACTCAAGCCGCCTAAGGGTCGATTCTAGCATGCTAGTTTTACCAAAAGTTAAGGTTTCATTAACAGGTACATTTATTCAAAGGCACTTGGGGAAAGTAAACTTTAAATTTAAACATAAAACATAGCATTTAAATAAAATGTTTTTAAGGAGGAAAAAATATTTTTTTGGAAACAAATTAATTCAAATATATAAAACAAATAATATTCACTAACTCTTTTGAAAGGCTTATAATCATAAAGCCTTGTTTTGTTTTGTTTTTAGGTTTTTGTCGTAGAATGCTTGTGCTCACCAAAGACAGACAGAGAGGCAGTGAGAGGGAAACTGAGAAATCACCCCTCTGGGGGATGGCCACACTTCAATCCCTGTTCCTCCATTCTCCATTTGAGATTTTTGGACACGCACACACATGTGCCCAGCATGATCCTCAAGCCACCAGGACTGGGACTCAAACCATGATCTGTAGGAATTCAGTGTGTATACCACCGTGCCGCCTACTGGCCCTCTAAATATGGTCATTCTTTAGTGGAGAGTTGCACGTATTACTTCAAAAACAAAATGAAACCTTTACTTCCTCTTTACCTTTTTATTATAAAGCACTATCTTAAAAGGTGTAAAAATTATCAAATGACTGTGAACATATCCTTCACCAAGATTCAGCGATGGCGGTGCTTTGTCAGACACGGGCGATGTACATGTATAGGTGATGCACATAATTTCTGAGGAACCATCTGAAAATGAATTGCAGATTTCACGACAATTTATCCTTCTTTTCAATTTAAAAAAATTAAATTAGCAAAATAATTGCTCATAATCGTGGGAGTGCAGTATGACTTTACAGTGTGAGAACACGTGTAGTGACTCACTCGCGATCACTAGCACGCCTGTCGACCCAACTGCTTGTCACTTGTGCTGGGAACGTCCGAACTCCTGCCTCTGAGTTACTCCGACGCACAGCAAGTGCTGCCATCTGTGCTCTTGCCCCTGTATCGCAGGGCACCTGGCACTGCTCCTCCTGTCTGCCCGCCACTGCACATCTGCCATCGACCTCCCTCTTCTCTCCACCCCACCCCTCCCAGCTTCCAGCTTCCAGCATCGTTCTTCATCCCTCTGCCTCTCGGAGGCTGCTTTGCTCATTTCCACATACGAGGGGGAAGATGTGGTACTTCTCTTTCTGTGGCTGGGCTAGTGCACTTAGCATAATGTCCTTCAGGCTCACGCATTGAACCTCAAATGACAGGATTGTGTCCTTTTAAATGGCTGAATAGTATTCCTGTGTGTGTGTGTGTGTGTGTGTGTGTGTGTAAGAGACAGAGAGACTCCATCAGCTGATGGGCACTTAGGAGCTCTCATATCTCGCTCTTGTGGATGGTGCTACAATAAACACTGAGGTGCAGAGATCTCTGTGACATACTGCTTTCCTTTCCGTTGGGGACACACCTAGTAGTGGGATTGCTGGGTCATACGGCAGTCCTATTGTTAATTTGTTGAGGCGCCCCCATCGTGTTTGCCATAATGACTACACTAATTTACCTGCCCATCAACAGCGTAACAGAGCGCCTTTTCTCTGCATGCTTGGCACTTGTTATTTTAATTTTTTTGATAACAGTCATTCTGACAGGGGTGAGATAATATTTCTTTGTGGTTTTGATCTGCACTTTCCTAATATTAGTGATGCTGAGCATTTTTTCATATGCTTGGTCATCTGTAGATCTTCTTTCAAGAACTGCTTATTTAAGTCATTTGCCAATTTTCAATTAGGTTATTTATTTATATATATTTACTATTGAACTGTTTGAGGTTTTTTTTTTACATAATCTGATTATTCGTTGTTCATCAGATGGATAGTGTGCAAATATTTCTCCCATTATGTAGGTTTTCTCTTTACTCTGTTGATTGTTGCCTTTGTTGTCAGAAGACTTTTAGCTTGATATAATCCCACTTCTCTGTTTTCATTTTTGTTGCCTGAAGTTTTACTTATAAACTCTTTGCCAGTAGTGATGTGCTGAAGTATTTTCCCTATGTTTCTTCTATTAGCTTCATTGTTTTGGGTTTATGTTAGCTTTTAATTCATCTGGAGTTGATCTTTTGGTATGATGAGAGATACAGATCTTCTTCATTTTTCTGCATATGGATGTCCACTTTCTCCAACACCATTTATTGCTGGATGTTCTTGGCATCTTTTGTGAAAACTAACTGGCTGTATACATGTGGGTTTACTTCTGGATTTGCTGTTTAGTTTCACTGGTCTCTGTCTGTTTCTTTGCCAGTACCATGCTGTTTTTGTTATGCTATAATGGTGTGTGTGTGTGTGTGTGTGTGTGTGTGTTTATATATGCACGTGTGTGTGTATGTGTGTGTGTGTGTGTATATATATATATGTGTATATATATATATATTCTCATTTTGTTTTTATTTTCATTTGTGCCATAGGGTATGTGCACTCACTGGAGAGAGACAGAGTCAGGGAAAAGGAGAAATCACGCCTCAGGGGGTTTGGCCACACTCCGATCCCTTCTTCCATTTTCTCCTCAGGATTTTGGGCATGCATGTGCACACATGCTCAATGTGATTTTCAAGCCACTGGGTCCAGGACTTGAAGCGCATTGGCCATGTGAGAGTCTGCACATTAACCACTATGCCACGTGCTAGCCCCAGCCTTATGGAATATTTTAAAACCCAGTAGTGTGATGCCTCCAGCTCCATTCTTTGTGCTCAGGATTGTGTTGGCTATTCTGGGTATTTTGTGATTCCATACACATTGTACTTTTTTTTTTTCTATTTCTGTGCTTTGATTCTGTACTGTATTGGACCTATGTATTGCTTTTAGAGGTGTAGACATTTTAACAATATTGATTCTTCCAATCTATGACTGTGGGATGGTTTTCTATTTTTGTGTCTATGTGTGTTTTCTTCAATTTCTTTCATCAGTGCTTTAAAGTATTCATTACAGAGATCTTTCACTTCTTTGGTTAAATTTATTTCTAGGGGGACCAGAAGATGGCATAATGGTTACGTCATTGGACTCCCATGTAGTTGACAGTGATTTGAGTCTTGGAGCTGGTGGCTTAAACTCACAGCTGGAGTGTGTGCATGCATGCCAAATATCCCAAGAGGAGACTAGAGAAGGAGGGACTGTAGTGTGGCTATCCCCCTGGGGGCTGATTTCTTGCTTTCTGTCTCTCTGACTCTTGAGCTGGTCTGTGTACTCTAGAAAAAAAATCTCTTAAAAATTATTTGTGGTATTTTCTTTTCTTTTTATCTATTGTAAATGAGATCACTTTTTAAATGTATTTTTTTAGCTATTTCATTATTAGCATATATATATATGAAGCGTTTATATTAGCTACCAACATTCGTGTGTTGACTTTCTATACTGCAACTTTACCTAATTCGTTAGTTGTAGAGTTTGTATAAGTGTGTGGCATATTCGGGGTTTCTGTCTACCAGAGCATATCATCTGCAAATGGGGACAATTTAACTTCCGCAACCTGGATGTCCCCGATGTCTTTGTCCTGCCTTAGTGGTCTCACTAGGGTGTCCAGGGCTCCGTTACTAACAGTGGTGACCGTGGTCACCCTGTCTTGTGCAGGGAAGCCTTAGAGGAAGCCTTCAGCTGTCCCCATTCGTGGTGTTAGCTGTGGGCTTGTCATAAATGGCCATACCACTACACTTCCTCCTTAAATACGTCAGCGCTTGTCTCCTGTCAGGCCCAGGGAAATCAGCATGCACTCAAGCCTGTCACCTAAATATGTGGTCTGCATTCAGACTTTCCTATCTGTCCTAGTATCTTTCACAACCAACTTCTTTTCTCCGTCTTTGACCCGGGATCTAACCAAGCTCCGTGCATGGCTTTACGAATGCTGCACTTCGGAGCACGCTGCAGTCTCCCCGAGTGCTTCTGGGGTAGCTTGGGTCACTGTGAGACGATGATGTGTCCCTTCGTTAGCATTTCCTGTCACTTTCCATGAATCCATGGGTTATAAGCAAGCAGTGCCTGAAGGTACAGGACACAGGGGTCAGAGACACGTACGCTTTTCTCAACCTAAAAAAAGGTGATTTTGTGCACACAAATACAGTCACTCTACTGAATTACGTATTATGGCAGTGAGGAAATCGAAGCATCGAAGGCTCGGCGGGAGATTTGTAAGGACATGGACAACGATGAGGCGACGACGTTGGGGAAGAGGAGCAGGAAGAGGAGGAAGGGGATCATGGTGAGGTGAAGTCAGGGGGGCTAAGTCTGCTCTCCCCAAGGACAGATATCTTTGTGCTCTTCTGTATAATGTCATGAGCGGTTTGCAGAAGGTGGATGCTTTGCATTCTCTCGTAGCTAC